CAAAGCATTCAAAAACAATAACAATAAAGTTTTAAGTATCAGGCGTGACATTTAAAGCAGACGCTTTGATGCTCCACCTGAGAGTAAATCTGTAAGGCTTGTCGCCAGCATTCAGACATCAATTCTGTTTGCTTCACAGCCAGACAGGACACGAAAAAAACAACCAACCAAAAAAAGAAGGAAAACCTGCGATGCGCGATAACAGTGATTAAAATTATGAAGGTAATATGACTTGCAATAAATAATCAAATACTTAACTCAATAACCAAAAAGAAACAAAGAAATTTAAAAACGACAATAAATATAAAAATTGGGAAAAGCAAAAATTGTGATCAAAAGATGTGAAGAAAGGGGTGAAAAATGAACAAGAACAGGTCATCAGAGGATCCTGGGAACAGCAGTCAGCAGAAGGAGCAGAACGAAGCTAACTCAAGTGTTTGCTAGCCATCTAAACGTCCACCTTGTGGGCGGGCATCTAACCAGTAGAACCCACCCGATTGGCCAAGCTGGTGAAGAGCTCTATTTGATTTGTCAAAAACTTTATGCATCCGTTTGATTTACAAAATGCATTATGTGTATCAAACATTTGAGCTGACCATTTATTGCATTTTTTCTGTTCTTTGCAATATTCTTAATGCGCATGCCGATATAGCGATGACAATACATTTGTGATGTATATTATGCAGCCCTAATTTGGAGTCTTAGTTCCTGATATTTGGACATTTCGCCTCTGATTGGATAAAAGCAATGCAACTTTACCACTGACTTTGTTTGCTTTGCAATAGGGTTGCAGGATATTAGGAAAACCTGCGATATGCAATAACAGTGGTTAATATTGCGATGACGATATTACTTGCGATTAATTAAAATTTAACTCAGGAATAAAAATAATCAAAAAATGAAATTAAAAATGATATAACAATTCATGAAAATGAGAAAAGCAAAAGATGTGAAGAAAGGGGAAAAGAAAATGAACAAGAAAAGGCAATCAGTGGATCCCTGGAAAAGCAGAATCAGCAGAAAGAGCAGAACTAAGCTAACTCACGGGTTTGCTAACCATCTAATTTAAGTGCCGTCCGCCTCGGGGGGCGGGCACCTAACCTATGAGAACCCACCCTATTGGCCAAATGGGTGAAGAGCTCTATTTTATTTGTTAAAAAACATCATGCTTCCATTTGATTGACAGAACGCATCATGTGTAGCAAACATTTGAGCTGACCATTCATTGCGATGTTTATCTGTTCTTTGTGATATGCATATTGCGCACGCTGATATCGTGATAACGATATATTTGCGATATATTGTGCAGCTCTACTTTGCAACGAAGATGTTTTATCTCCACAAATGACATAAGCATGGAGAAGTTCTGCTGTGTGGTAGAGTTGCTAATGCTAACAGTTAGCTTCTACTAGCCAAGGCGCTTTCTGCTGTTTCCTGGTCACTAAATCAACAACAGCCTTCTCCGTCGTGATGGTTGTGTCCATGAGTGTTTAGTGACTGTGTGACGTAGATCTGTCAGGATTTTCAAATCCTAAAATATTTATAATTTTCTTCAGATGATATTATGATTTGGAACATTCCTTACCATTCCTGTCAGTTTTGAGTGAATTGCTCTTGTTATAATTAAGTTAGCACTCTGGTAACAGAACAAATATGAAGGGCATCCATCGGGTTTGGCTGCAGTGTGCTGTCTAAGGCTCGCAGTGATTGGCAGCACTGGCATGTGCAGGCAGTGATTTATATTACAACATACAGTAGCTGCATCGCACAATAAAACAAGGGAGCCAGTAAAGATGTTACAGCGTAATAGACCTAGAAAGACATCAGATGAATGAATGAATGAATGAAAGCTGAAGCAGTGAAAAAGGAGAGGGTAAAGTCAGGCAAAGGTCAGATTCTGTGAAAAGGTTAGCATGAATTTGACATGAGTCAGAGCCAGTAGGGAGACATCGTTCTTGTTACTGGTTTTTAGACATAACCAGGGATGAATGAATGAAACATGAGTAAAGGAGAACTGTGTCAAGAGAGTCAATAAAATCCACATGAGACCAATTCCCTGAGTGATGGAGGGCAAAAGCGCTGAAATGGGAAGCTGAGATCAGTATTCTAACAGAGGGAAACTACGTCTTAAAGAATGTGCACATTTTCTATTTGAAAATTTAACAAGCGTGAATCATCAAGTATTTTAGAAGTGTGCTGGCAGAGCTGTTGACCTGAAAAAAGTTTTAGAAACCAGATGAAAGAAGCCAAACTTGGTTTTCTAGGCAGAAAGGATGTGGAGTCTAAGCTTTGGGGCAGTGTTTTCCTTCTGCGGGTGGATGTAATGGTTAATTTAGATAAAAACCCCACCTTGTACAGGTGGTCTGTACTAACAGACCTTTGCAGATGCAAACTGCTTTCTATGCATCTTTATTTCCTGTTGGATCATCAAACACGTCTCCTCGCCAAATTGAGATGCATACAGCTGTCACGACTTCTCAAGTCTGGAAAATACTATTACTTTTTCTGTAGCTCCGATGGTCACCGTCAGAGGGTTCCCAGAGCGATGGTTCCAGGCATGTGATGAGCAGCATCTGGCCGTCAGACAGGAGTGGTAAATAGGTTTTTGTCAAGGCCTCGGGGTACAGCCCCTCCCCCACACAGTCACCTAAACATCTCTACGTTTTACGTCAAAGTGATGGCAGTTTTATTTGAGCAGGCTTTCTCTCAGCAATCGACCAGCCCATACCTCTCTCTGAACCATTAATTGGATCGGAGTGACGCCATGGTGATATTTATACCCTCAGTCTTCAAATATATGTCGGGGCTTCATAATAAAGCAAACGACGTTCAGACTACACGTCCGGCGTAGCCTCATCTACTCTACTCCAGATATTCCTCCATTTATGGAATCAATAATCCACATTATTTAAAATACCTTGACATACATCGGGCTGCATGGTGGCGCAGTGGTTAGCACTGTTGCCTCGCAGCACGAAGGTTGCAGGTTCGAAACTCGACCGCGGCCTTTCTGCGTGGAGTTGCGTGTTCTCCCCATGCATGCGTGGGTTTCCTCCGGGTACTCCGGTTTCCCCCACAGATCACAACACGCCCTATAGGTTATAGATTGTAAGTTGCTTTGGATAAAAGCGTCTGCTAAATAAATAAACATAAACATACTACAACCTAGTAGCAAAAGCATCAACAAGAGCATTTTTAGCTCAAGGGCCGTGGTCTGGCAAAGGTGCCCTACAGAAGACACTGTGGTGGAGTTACTTAGGTTTGTGTTGGGTGTGTTCTGCTTTTAGTTTTTCACTTTCCAGAAGTCCACTTGTGTTTAGCTTCATCTACACAACGTCACGGTGAACATGAGTGGGACCGGTCACCCTTGGCATTAGTACTGCAACAAACGATTGTTTGGATCATCGATAGGTTGGCCATCGTTTGAGTTTGAACGATTCTGAGTTTCCAAACTACTATTTTGAATGTATTTGAAATACAAATATTTGTTTTGCTTTTATAAAAATCTAACAGTGAATTTCTCTATAAATTACAAGGACATTTTACTTAGTAATAGTAAACAGTAGAACTGTTTCTTTAGATGGTCACTTTAAATATGACACGTACATTTTTATTAGTTACACGTCACGGTTCTTAACTCAGTTAGCAGGGTAATGTTGTGCTAACATAGAGACATCAGGGTGACATTTACACATGGACAGAGTTGAGCAAGTGAGGTAGAACCAGCACTAAACCAAGGACAGAAGCTACTCTCAAATAAATGGATAGAAATAATAGTTGACTAACCAGCAACAATTAACTGGTTAGTCAACTACTGAAGCAATCATGAGTTGCAGCTCTAGGGGGCAGGACCTAAGATGTATTACTGCAAAGTAGAGAAATGTTCATTACATCTGGAGCTCGCTGATGCTGTATCTTTATGACTAATGAGGAAATTAACTCACCTTTATAGGCCACCGGAAAAGATATAATCTTCAATGTTAGGGGAGGAATCAATCTTCCCTCAAGCTATTTGTTTTTGTCCAGAGCAACAAAGTTTGGGATAAGGATGTTGATTGGTAAGAATCTGGTGATGCGATGTATATCACAATACAAGGGACATGATACGATAAACATCGCAAAACAGGAGAGACGTCACGATACGATGTGATGGTGGCACAGGAGTTAAATGTTCGCCCTGTAATCAGAAGGTTGCAGGTTCGAGTCCTACTCTGTCGCTGTCATTGTGTCCTTGGGCAAGACACTTAACCCACCTTGCCTGCTGGTGGTGGTTGGAGGGATATTTCATTGGAAAAGTCAGGCTAGATGTTTTCAAGACACACCCAGTGTTATTGCGAGATCTCTCTCAGGTCTTGTCCGAAGGAAGGTGGTAACAACCGCTGCCACCTAGCAGTCGGAGTTTGAATTGCACCACACAAAAGAAGTACAGTAATTGTTCGCATGTAAATTCTTAATAAAAAATCGATTCAGTTTCGTAACACAAAATTTGGCGATATTTCAGTGTATAGATATTTTCTTACACTACTAGTTTGGGACAACGCATCTTCTCTACAAAATCAGCTTAAACATTTTCATTTTTTTACTTTATGTTTTTCATTTGTAAAGTGAACAGTTTATAGCGTAAACCAAATAAATATATGTACTCATAGTGCTAGAGTGATCCAAACGGAATGGTACTTTTTCATATATCACCATCCCGTCTCCCTTGGCGACATGTGGAAGCTGTTTGTCCTCTTCAGGCCTGCTCTATCTTAGCTTCATCGCTCTCTGCCTACTTACTTCCCCTCCCATCTGTCCTTCTGCCTCTCTATCATCCCTCGCCATGTTAGCTCTCCACTGTGCCACCCTCGCAGGAAGAGTAGGATTTTCTTTCCCCAAGTTATATTTCTGCTCTTCTCTGCATTTGTTTCCTGTATCTTCCTCGAGCACAGATGCCTCACGTCTGTCTATTTCTCTGTGCCGCACATACATTCTTACTTGTCTCTCTCTTTTCTCTGCAGATGTCTGAGAGCTAGCCAGCAGAGGACTTTCCCTCGCTGCCTGAGCGTTCCACCTGCAGCCATGAATGGTAAGAATGCAGTTTTTAGTCTCCGGCGTGCAGGAGTCTGTGCGGACAATGTGCTTATCTGTTAAGCTTTGATTGGGGAAACGTTCAGGGGTGAACGTCAAGTTCAGAGGAAATGAAGGGAAGAAGCAGAATGAAATGGTAATAAACTGTTACTGTGACAGGATATTTGAATCAAGTTTGGGTTTTATTGTAACAGACGGAAGAAAAAGGACTTAAAAATAGGATTTGGGATATTACGGTGTAGTTTTCTATGGCGCATTTTATTTAACTCTTACAAAATAATTGCTGAGTGAATGTTTTGGTTGTTTCTATCCTAAAAAGCACGTGTGTACATTCTTCTGCATGCAATAGATCAGAGCCTGTATGTGTTGGATGTTTCTATTCCACAGGAGTAATTCTTCAGTTTGAACATGCCCAGCACCCTCGAATAACTCCGTTAAATCCCATTCCCTAAAACAACACAACGGCAAAAACAATAGGAGGCTGACCGTCCCACAGCGCAGAGAATACTGATCCACTAGAGCTCATCCTAAACGTCATCCTGGCCTCTCGAGGTGAAATGACTGATGTGGTCTTCCCCTGCAGACTGGAGCTGGGTGCTCATGGGGGGGGGGGGGGGGGGGGGGGGGGGGTACTAAGGACCTTGCAGCACTCAGGCTGACAAAAGGACAAGAAAACACTGGAGGCAGAGGTTCTTTGTGCAGCAGCTGCAGTGGAAGAGAGACGCGGTACAGTTGGATTCTGCACAGGTGGCGTTACTATAGGAGCGGTTGCGTGCACATGTGCGTATGTGTGCATGTGTGTATGTGTGCATGTGTGTATGTGTGCATGTGCGTATGTGTGCATGTGCGTACGCAGCACTGTGGTTTGAGTCTGTGCAGCATCGGTGTTAGCTGAAGGGCTCTTGTGTATTCTCCCAGAATTTGTATTCTGAGCTGATTCATAGAAGTTGTTTTGCTTCTCAAAGGAACGCAGTTTGGATTGAGTTCAAATGCTCTGGGTATTTGAGGGACAAATACACGGAAATAAACAAATAATTTACCTAGGAAGGGAAAATCCTTTAGGGATTGTTATTTGAGTCAGTCTCGTTGTGCAGTTCTTGTTCATAACCACTTTACAAAATCTGTAAGCTTCTGGAGATGGTTTCACTTATAGATGTAAGCTTCTGGAGATGGTTTCACTTATAGATGTAAGCTTCTGGAGATGGTTTCACTTATAGATGTAAGCTTCTGGAGATGGTTTCACTTATAGATGTAAGCTTCTGGAGATGGTTTCACTTATAGATGTAAGCTTCTGGAGATGGTTTCCTGTACATTTAAATGTATTTTCTATTGTGGTGTGGTGTTTTCCACGTGTGCTTTTTATTTCTGTTGGAAAAATCGACTTGAAACACCTGACTTGTTGTGACTTGTAAGTTTGTGTTCAGTAAAAATAAACTGCAGACCTCTTTTAAGCCTCCTTTCCACCGGACGTGAAAGCAGTGTTTTATTTGAACCACAAGCTCTCTTCCAACCGGAGCGACTCTGATGCGAAACGGGAGCGAAAGCGTTCCACACAACTGATCCTGTGAGGTCACAGAATCACGGGAGAATTGCAACACCACGCAAAGCAGCTGTTGTTAAAGCAGCTTTCCAGAGTTTTCTACTTCCAGAAACTATGTATGGTTTTCCAGAAATCCGTAAAAGTGATTATCTTATCATGTACCGTGATATAATATAAGCAATACATCTTCTCTTTTTTTGCTAAGCCCGCCCCGCAGAGCTCCGTGCAATAGGAAACTGAGCGCCGACCAGAACTAACCAATAGCGTTAGACTACCGCTTACGTGTTTCACATTTAAGGAATACCTCGGCTGATGCAGAGTTGATGAACTTTTCACGGACAGGTAAGTCTCTAAAATATAAATATATGAGAACACAACATGACATGAGACTAATACTCGTAAAACAGCGTGTTTTAGCTGTTTGTCGGCTACAGAAGCACGTTTATAAACAGAAACGTGAAGTCGCCATCTTAAAAAAAACAGAGCAAGAGCGTTTTTGTGTGATACGCTTGTCAGCCACTAGATGGTGCCATCAGATAACAGAAATACTCCGAAAGAAGCTTTAAGTCAACTTTTATTTTTGCTACGTTTTCTACCTGATTCCCCGTAACAAGATCCCACTGACTGCTGTCTGCTGCAGGTAAAATACTGACTACTCAGCGTTCGCACCAATAACATATAACTACGCTTGGAAATGTTGGTCAAAAATAGTGTCATTTCTTTTGTTACACAGATTTGATCGCATTAGCACAAATAGAGTGACTTATATTTATTTCAGTTTAGTTATAAATAACATCCATTCCCATTAGTGATGCACCAATAGGAAGTTTTTGGGCAGATACCGATATCCGATACTGAGCTCACTGTTATGGCCGATGACCGATATTTGCCGATACTGACCTACTGACATTAATGCTTCTAAAATCAACAGATTTTGTATAGAATGACAATTATTAAAGCTGAATTTACGTTATTATGTACACACACAACACACACATTTACGCTTCTGAGATGATTACAATCACTGTCACATGACTAAACAATTACACATCACCCCCCCCCCCCCCCCCCCCCCCCCCCCCCCCCGAAACAGGCAAACAAAAGGAGACGAGATGGAAAAATATCGGTTGTTAATATCGGCCCGGTTTTATTCATCAAAACCACACCGATCTGTTAAAAAATGACTAACATCAGCCAGTTCTGATATTGAAGCTGATATATTGTCCATCCCTAATTCCCATTCATCCTTCTGTTCAGGACGTTGGAGTCATTTCATGTGGCACGCTTTATCTGGACTTCCACTGAGTGGCCGTATGTCTCCACAAGAACAAATGACAAGTGTATAACTTCTGTCGTTTCTGCGTAAGAAGCTTTGCAGTGCCCCACTCACTCACAGAGCATCGGCCCTCACTCATGCACTCACTGCATTAACTGGCAGGCAGTTATGTGGCCATGCTAGCTCCATGTCCCAGTTGCACTGTGCTGGAGCACCCCCCACCCCTGCACCTCCCCACAAGCTCTAAGTGGAGGCTGTCGAAGCCATCGAGACAATGGGAAGAATACTCACAGCTCTTTAGGAGATTAATTACTTTCTCATTTTTACTGCAGTCCTTTTCTGACAAAGCCGTAAGTAGGTCAGTCACTGTGAGCTTCTAACGCCGGCTTTGTCAGGGGACAGAGTACGCACCTGACCAGGTGTTGCTATGGAGGTTTGGAGGAGTACACACCTGAACAGGTGTTGCTATGGAGGTTTGGAGGAGTACACACCTGACCAGGTGTTGCTATGGAGGTTTGGAGGAGTACACACCTGAACAGGTGTTGCTATGGAGGTCTGGAGGAGTACACACCTGAACAGGTGTTGCTATGGAGGTTTGGAGGAGTACACACCTGAACAGGTGTTGCTATGGAGGTTTGGAGGAGTACGCACCTGAACAGGTGTTGCTATGGAGGTTTGGAGGAGTACGCACCTGACCAGGTGTTGCTATGGAGGTTTGGAGGAGTACACACCTGAACAGGTGTTGCTATGGAGGTTTGGAGGAGTACACACCTGACCAGGTGTTGCTATGGAGGTTTGGAGGAGTACACACCTGACCAGGTGTTGCTATGGAGGTTTGGAGGAGTACACACCTGACCAGGTGTTGCTATGGAGGTCTGGAGGAGTACACACCTGAACAGGTGTTGCTATGGAGGTTTGGAGGAGTACACACCTGAACAGGTGTTGCTATGGAGGTTTGGAGGAGTACGCACCTGAACAGGTGTTGCTATGGAGGTTTGGAGGAGTACGCACCTGAACAGGTGTTGCTATGGAGGTTTGGAGGAGTACACACCTGACCAGGTGTTGCTATGGAGGTTTGGAGGAGTACACACCTGACCAGGTGTTGCTATGGAGGTTTGGAGGAGTACGCACCTGAACAGGTGTTGCTATGGAGGTTTGGAGGAGTACGCACCTGAACAGGTGTTGCTATGGAGGTTTGGAGGAGTACACACCTGACCAGGTGTTGCTATGGAGGTTTGGAGGAGTACACACCTGAACAGGTGTTGCTATGGAGGTTTGGAGGAGTACACACCTGACCAGGTGTTGCTATGGAGGTTTGGAGGAGTACACACCTGACCAGGTGTTGCTATGGAGGTTTGGAGGAGTACACACCTGACCAGGTGTTGCTATGGAGGTCTGGAGGAGTACGCACCTGACCAGGTGTTGCTATGGAGGTCTGGAGGAGTACGCACCTGAACAGGTGTTGCTATGGAGGTCTGGAGGAGTACGCACCTGAACAGGTGTTGCTATGAAGGTTTGGAGGAGTACGCACCTGAACAGGTGTTGCTATGGAGGTTTGGAGGAGTACGCACCTGAACAGGTGTTGCTATGGAGGTTTGGAGGGGTACGCACCTGAACAGGTGTTGCTATGGAGGTTTGGAGGAGTACGCACCTGAACAGGTGTTGCTATGGAGGTTTGGAGGAGTACGCACCTGAACAGGTGTTGCTATGGAGGTTTGGAGGAGTACGCACCTGAACAGGTGTTGCTATGGAGGTTTGGAGGAGTACACACCTGAACAGGTGTTGCTATGGAGGTTTGGAGGAGTACGCACCTGAACAGGTGTTGCTATGGAGGTTTGGAGGAGTACGCACCTGAACAGGTGTTGCTATGGAGGTTTGGAGGAGTACGCACCTGAACAGGTGTTGCTATGGAGGTTTGGAGGAGTACGCACCTGAACAGGTGTTGCTATGGAGGTTTGGAGGAGTACGCACCTGAACAGGTGTTGCTATGGAGGTTTGGAGGAGTACGCACCTGAACAGGTGTTGCTATGGAGGTTTGGAGGAGTACGCACCTGAACAGGTGTTGCTATGGAGGTTTGGAGGAGTACGCACCTGAACAGGTGTTGCTATGGAGGTTTGGAGGAGTACACACCTGACCAGGTGTTGCTATGGAGGTCTGGAGGAGTACGCACCTGACCAGGTGTTGCTATGGAGGTCTGGAGGAGTACGCACCTGAACAGGTGTTGCTATGGAGGTCTGGAGGAGTACGCACCTGACCAGGTGTTGCTATGAAGGTTTGGAGGAGTACGCACCTGAACAGGTGTTGCTATGGAGGTTTGGAGGAGTACGCACCTGAACAGGTGTTGCTATGGAGGTTTGGAGGGGTACGCACCTGAACAGGTGTTGCTATGGAGGTTTGGAGGAGTACGCACCTGAACAGGTGTTGCTATGGAGGTTTGGAGGAGTACGCACCTGAACAGGTGTTGCTATGGAGGTTTGGAGGAGTACGCACCTGAACAGGTGTTGCTATGGAGGTTTGGAGGAGTACACACCTGAACAGGTGTTGCTATGGAGGTTTGGAGGAGTACGCACCTGAACAGGTGTTGCTATGGAGGTTTGGAGGAGTACGCACCTGAACAGGTGTTGCTATGGAGGTTTGGAGGAGTACGCACCTGAACAGGTGTTGCTATGGAGGTTTGGAGGAGTACGCACCTGAACAGGTGTTGCTATGGAGGTTTGGAGGAGTACGCACCTGAACAGGTGTTGCTATGGAGGTTTGGAGGAGTACGCACAGGTGTTGCTATGGAGGTTTGGAGGAGTACGCACCTGAACAGGTGTTGCTATGGAGGTTTGGAGGAGTACGCACCTGAACAGGTGTTGCTATGGAGGTTTGGGTAGTTTGTCTGGCATTAGTTTCACATTTCTTATGGAAGCAAACAGATGTTAGATTCAAAACTAAACTTTTCCTCTCCCTCATAATCAAAATGCAACCTAATTATGGAGTTGCTCAATTATTTTAGGGCTGGTCCAAGAGCTGTGACTCAGACTTAGCGGTGAAATATGTCCGTAAGTCTGTGTGAGGTCGGATGGAGCTCAGCGGATTGTTTGGGTTAGTGCTGGGGTGGAAGTTCTGTCGTGGGCAGGGTGGCATTTCCTGCTGAATAAATCACAGCGTCGCTGGAGATATGACTGATAGGAATGTCTTTGGGCTCCTGCTTAGTGCTCCAGTTGTAATGTGACTCCGCCTGGGTCACTAGTGTTTGTTGGAGTTAAACTGGTAAGAAAAATAAGGGTTACCCCAACAGGTGTCATTTGCAGTCAACATCTACAACATGTTGTCTCAATGTTTAATAGGAAAATCATTATAGTATTAGAATAAAGTTAATGCAGGTCAGATAGTTATGAAGAAGTTTCCAGATGTTAAAGGCTGACAGAAAAAATTGGGTCTTAGAACAATTGGTGACTGTTCTTTGAGTCTCTATGAAACTTTGGTGGGGTTCACAATGTCCCAGGAGCCTTGGTAAATGGCCAAACAGCCCAATAATAAAGCCCCACAATGGAAAGACTGGTTTGCCCCACCCAGTCAGCCAGGACCTTTAAAAGCTGACTGCCTTATTTACCCCAATGGCTCTATGATGCTCCCAAAAGCTAGAAATCCTGTGTACATGCGATAACTCAACAGGCAAGCTGTGCATCTATCTGGCATTCATTCATTCATAGTCTGGATGTTCCCAGTACATCCTGGAACATTACATGTGTGCTACACCATTCTTCTTTGCTATTTTCTCCTCTTCCACCAAGGACGTTGGCAATAGCTCAAGCTAGCAGTAGCAGTAGCTTGGGCTAACATTAGCAGTAACTTGTGCTTGCGTTGTTCTGCCGTTAGCATTACGCCACCAATATTTAAATATTGCTGGTGTTCAAGTGGGTTGGGAAATTCAAGTTTAAGTTGGTGTTTGTGCCAATGACATTAAACAGGCTTTTCTCAGAACTCAACGTTTTTCCGCGGCCACTACAACATTTTTTTTTACTTAGGAAAGCAGAGATGACAGACATGTAGGTATGGTACCTCTGGAACCCCTTTAAAGCCAAAAGCCAAGAGAAAAAATAATCACTGATCGTTTATCAGCTGGTGTTAATCCCATTGATGATGGTCTTTTTATTTTTTATTTACCAAAAATTTGTTGTGAATACAAGTTTTTACGTTGTCAAAAATCAGGCCGTTTTTGTCTATGAAACAATTCATCTAGCATTAGCAAATAAACACCTATCGACTAATATTCTGAGACAATAAAGAAATAGTACTTTTTCTTTTTTCAAGTTTCAGGTTTTGTGTTTGGGAACTAAAATACTTGTGCGCATTAATTTAGTGGCAGAAATGAAACCAGTTATATTCTATGGAATACATTTTGTTTAATAAAAAGTTCTGTATTTTCCTTATTTTTAGTTCTCCTTAGGCATTGTATGTTTAAAAAAGTTCCCTTTGCATTATTATGGGGCTCAGAAGATTGAAAGAGAAATCTGTTAATAATAAAAATAATACATTTTATTTAAAAGCGCCTTTCAGAACACCCAAGGTCACGTGACAGAAAATACATTCAGAAAATACATTAAAACAACAATAAAACGCAAAAAAGAAAAAACAAAGAAAGAAACAGTTCATTAAAATCAGAGGTTGTAGGCAGATTTAAACATGTGTGTTTTGAGTTTTGATTGGAAAAGGGTAAAACTGTCGACGTTCCTGATGTCTGGGGGAAGTGAGTTCCAGAGTCGAGGAGCAGAGCGGCTGAAAGCTCTGCTCCCCATGGTAGCGAGACGGGCAGAAGGAACCGCAAGATGGATGGAAGAAGAAGATCTGATTGAACGGGACGGGGTGTGAATACTTATAAGGTCTGAGATATATGGAGGAGAGAGGTTGTGGATAGCTTTGAAGGTATGGAGGAGAATTTTGAAGATGGACCTGAATTTAACTGGGAGCCAGTGAAGCTGCTGGAGAACCGGGGTGATGTGGTGAAAGGAAGGGGTTCTGGTGATAATACGGGCTGCTGAATTCTGGACCAGTTGCAGTTTATGAAGGAGTTTGTTGGGGAGACCATAAAGAAGTGAATTGCAATAGTCGATACGGGAGGTGACGAGGCTGTGGGCGAGAATGGCGGCAGTGTGAGGGGTCAGGGAGGGACGGAGACGGTTTATGGAACGTAGATGGGAGTATGCTGACCGAATTATGTTATTAATGTGAGCTTGAAAAGAAAGTGAGCTGTCGAGAATGACACCCAGACTCTTGACGTGAGGGGAGGGGGAGACTGTGGCACTGTCAATAGTTAAAGAAAAGCTGTCAGATGTTGAGAGGGTGGAGTTAGAAGAAGTTCAGTTTTATTGCCGTTGAGTTTGAGGAAATTAGAGGTGAACCATGATTTGATTTCAGAGACGCAGAGTGTAAGGGAGGAGGTGGGAGAGTTGAGTTGGGCTTACTGGAAATGTAGAGCTGGGTGTCATCCGCAAAGCAGTGAAACTGGATATTGAATTTGCGGAAGATTTTGCCGATAGGGAGGAGATATACTATGAAGAGGAGGGGCCCCAGGACAGAGCCCTGGGGCACACCTGACTTGACTGGGGAGGGTTCTGAGGCAAAGGATTTTAACTGGATGAACTGAGTGCAGCCAGTAAGGTAAGATTGAAACCAGCGGAGGGGGGTGTGAGTGATGCCTAAGGAAGAGAGTCTATTGAGGAGGATGGGATGAGAAATGGTGTCAAAGGCCGCACTCAGATCGAGGAGAATGAGAATAGAGATTAAACCAGAAGATATTTACACTTTGCCTCCTGTGATCACCATGTAAACAGACTTAGGCACCAGGCAAGCCCGTCTGTCAGACAGGCAAAGCTGAGCATCAAAAAATATATTTTAGTTCATTTATCCCAGTTTATTCAGTAGTAGCTGTTAGCTTAGATCTCTCGGCTGTTCAAGTTACTATCGCTTTAATTATGTTTTGTTATATTCTGTTGATGTCGCCCTATCTTTGTGGGTTTTTTCCCAGTTACTGCCATAGAGGAGGTCTGTTTATGATATTAATATTTCAAAGTCATGGAAATGCCTTCAGTAAATCAAAGTATCCATAACAATCGATTCATTAAAAGTCTACATCTTTCTTTGTTCAAGCCATTTTGTTTTATTTGTATTCATTTTGCACACCACCGTCAGCTCCACATTTAATTCACCACCAAAGGTAAATCGTGTTTCTGTGAGATCAGAGCGAGCAGGGTGAGAAGTAGCTGAGCTGACATTTTTATAAATTAGTCATCGTCAGGTTCTGAGGAAGATCTCATTCGGATGGGAAAATATTCACTCAGTAGAAGGATTTTTGTTTTATCGCCTCTACGTTGAAGGTGTTTTGCTGGCTGTTGGAAGCTCTGATGGATTTGTCAGATTAATGAAAGGTGTGGTTCACTGAAAACCTTTTTTTAAGTGTTTCCTGATTAAAATCAGTCACTCTGAGATTTTCATGCAGGCTGAACATGAAAATAGTCTCCTACACCTATCTCCTGCTTTAGCTTCTGACAGATCTGCGTCATATTCTGTCGATGTCTCGTGTAAGCTAATGGTTAGCATTAGCAGCAACACGCCTGTAACAATCCAGACTTGAATCCATGCTTTCCCACTCATTCCACCTGTTGTCATTTAATTTAATTCTTTATAAGAAGATGAGAATTCATATAAAATCGTCGTTGTTCTTTTCAGAGTTAAATCCAAATCAAACTAGAACATGTACTCGTGTCTTGGTTCTGTCCAGGCGGGGCCAGCGTTTGGGCCATTACTCCGGAGGAGAGAGGGAAACACGACAAGCAGTTTGAGAACCTCGCCCCGGTCCTCGGCTACGTCTCAGGTAGGCTTCAGTAACCCAGCTGGTTTTGTTTCTGTTCCCGCTGGTTTTCTTGGAACTGTCACTGCTGCCGCTCTATCGGATTTCTCTGAACTCCATGTGATTGTTGTTTGTCCTCAGGAGAACAAGCGAGGAAGTTCTTTCTCCAGTCTGGCCTCCCAGCTTCTGTCTTAGCAGAGATTTGGTAACGAAACTCCTGTAAATCATCTTCAGAATTCCATTATGAAGCTGTAGCAAGCGGGCCACAAGGTCCCGGTTTGTGTCGGGTCAATCAGTTTAGTACATCAGCCTGTTTTAGCTTCCTGTGGAGCACTCATTTCCTCCGCAGCCTGCCACACCTTGTAAACTGTGTGTGGCTGGGGTAGTGTGTGTGTGTGTGTACTGTAATTAGAACATAGAGGGGTTGTGTGTGTGTGTGTGTGTGTGAGTGTATCTGCTGTTTTTGTATGAAAAAATGTGGCAGGAATTCAGTCCCACCAGAGCCTCGTCTTTGTGAAGCTGGCTTTTTCTATTGTCTCCGTAAGGGAGGAACAGGAGCAGGAATGTAGAGTGTCACCGTGCACTCAGCGTCGCTAAGGCGCTTTTCCTCTTCTCTCTGCTGTAGGAGCCTAGCTGACATGGACTATGATGGGAAGATGGACAGACTGGAGTTTTCAATCGCTATGAAGCTAATTAAGCTTAAGCTCCAGGGGCGGAGCCTGCCCTGGGCCTTGCCAAGCATCATGAAGCAAACTCCATCTTCTAATAATAATAATATGACTTCATCAGCACGATTTGGTAAACATTTATTATTATTTTTTGTTTAAAGATCAACACATTTGAGTGTTAAAGGGGACAAATTATGCAAAACTCACCTTTTTCATCCTTTCGTGCCGCCACGTGGCTCTCTTTGGTCTCCCAGACTTGGAAAGAACCCGTCCATCTGTTTTGTCGGTGTTTGGTTTTAGAAATGGAGTTTACGCCACAAATCCCTGGTCTGACTCTTCCTGACCTTTTAGCTAGCTGAATCACTTCAGGGTTTCACTTTCCCACCAGAATGAACCATTTTAATGTGATCAGCCCTGTTTAAGGAGATGTGAATGTTATTTACATGAACTGCTATTAACGGCTGGGAATATTTATGTTTATGTTTATGTACATATCAGCATAAAACCCACCTAACCTGGAGAAGAGCAGCTGCTGCTGAAGGCTCTACTCCAAGCCCCTCCTGGATGGTAGCGTCTCAGCCTATAGCAGCTTGAGCTGGACATGAATGGCTAGCTCCAGTTTGTTTCCTTAAAGTGACAGATCCCTGAAATGGCTCATTCTGGAGGATACTGAAACTGTTATGAATAAAACTGCAGAGATGGCTTCACGTGAGACCTTTTGCACAGGTATGCTCCATCTCGGTCTCTTCGCTCAGCCGAGCAGGAACTTCTGGTGGTCCCCGGTCGAAATATCGATCGAGGGGTTATCGTGCTTTTTCTGTTTTGGCTCCAACTCTGTGGAATGAATTGCCACTGAGCATTAGGCAGACGCCGTCCCTTCACGTCTTTAAGTCTCGTCTAAAGACTCATTTTTATTTGATTGCTTGTCAGCGCTAGGGTTCTTTGCCCTGACATGATGGTTTTAATTCTTCTTCTTTTGATCAGGATGCTTGATCTTATTTTGTCCACCATTTGTTTTTAATCGTTTAGTCTTATTCCGTTATCTCTCTGTATTTGTAATACTGCTCGCTTGTTATTTTATGATTTTATGTTTTTATCTTGCTCTTATGCCCAGGTACTGGGAATGTTTTTTATGATGCTGTTCAGCACCTTGGGCTTCTGATAACGTTGTGGAAGGTGCTCTACAAATAAACTTGATTGATTGATTGATTGATTGATTGATTGATTGAAAAGCCTTCATAAACATGTTTTGTATAGACCACAAAACTATTATAATGGAAGAAAAAAGTCACGATATGTCTCCTTTAATTCCTCTGCTTGTAGAGGTGTTATTATCATGATGGACTGTTTCCCTAAACCAGTAATACGTACATTAGCTGGGTATTTACTGTGTTAACACAACAAATGTACACCTCTCATGATTCATAACCTCCCCGTGTTTACCTTTGTGTTTCCTTTACGTAGGAATGGGATCCATGCCCAACTTATCCGTTGGTCTGTCATCCATGTCCATCCTAACACCCCTTCCTGCTAACCCCCCCTTCCACTCGTTGCAACCCCTGGTGCCAGTGACTCTGCCTTTGGCTACCTCTTTTGGAAACTCTGGGCTCCCCAACGGCACCGTCAACCTGCTCACCTCACCACTTGTTCCCATCAGTGCAGGTTGGTTCTGCAGTAGAACCGTTCTGGTCCCGTTCTTAAACAAGCGCCGTTATAAATGTGAGCATCAGGTCATGTAAAGATAAGAAGAGACGGTTTTATGGAAGATGTGGGGTTTATGTTTAGTCCAACATTTGTTGACTAATGAGACCTGGTGTCCATGTCTGTGGTCATCTCTCCTGTTGTGGGAGTCGATGTTTTTAATAAAGGAAATTTTAACCAAGAATAGATTTTCTACATTTCAGTTTACTTCATTTCTTTTTATATTTACACGGATCTACAAATCAGGAGAAATTAAAGATGCATTCCAATAAAATAAAACCAAGACTTAAGAGGCTATAGATGTTTTTTCTCAAGGGTCACGTAAGATTCAGGTGTAATGATCCATTTTCATGCAGAGCCTTACCTGTAATGTTAACATCAATTGTTCATTTTTATTCTAATGCATTTT